CTCCTCCCTGCTTGTTGGTGAGTTTGGTGGTAGCTTCTCAAGGAACATCAGCAATGCAGTAAATAAAACCAAACCTGCTCAAATTCTCTCAGGCCTCCAGCTGACACACCCTCATTAACTAATTGTTTGTTCTCTCTCTCTCTCTCTCTCTCTCTCTAAACTCTCTCTCTCTGTGTGTCTCTCTAAACTCTCTCTCTGTCTCTCTAAACTCTCTCTCTAAACTCTCTCTCTATATATATAAACTCTCTCTCTCTCTCTGTCTCTCTAAACTCTCTCTCTCTCTAAACTCTCTCTCTCTCTCTATCTCTCTCTAAACTCTCAATTCAATTCAAAAGCTTTATTAGCATGACCATATTTACATACAGTATTGCCAAAGCTATGTATAGTTGTAACATCTATACAAATACACACAAATAAACAGATGTAAACAAACTGAACAAGAACATGTTTTTTTTTCAAGGAATACAGATTCATTTCATTCATATAATACATGAATACAAAATAGAATATGATATACTTGAGATGTGAGACCTGGTGTATCTGCTCATTCCGGTTCCCTCAGACTGTGGCAGGCAGAGACAAACTGTCCTGCCACAATGCAGCTCTCTTTATATTCCCCGAGAAGTATTTTTAGTTTTTCATTTTTAAATAATTGAGGATGCTTATGATTGAGTTTTGGGAAGAATTGTTTCCGTACGGGTTCAAAAGTTGGGCATNGGTTGGAATTCTCAAACGGCGATTGACTTGGGACTGCAGCGGTAAACACACGAGCGCCTACGCGAGCCGGGAGAGCTGACGCCGAGCCAGACGAGCAGTCGAGGCTACTCCTCCGTAAGTAACTGTTGAAATGTCATTATTGTAATGTTGTAACAATTGTCCCCGCGGTATTTCACCATCTATTACCACAAAACCGTCATGTTGCTTACATTCAAAAGATGAAAATGTAGACCCTTCCGTTAAACGGAGTAGTCTCCTTTTCACAGAACTGGTTTTTGAATTCATAAACAATATCGATACGTCCCGTACGTTCGCTTCGATTGTGTTGTTTGGTTCACTTTATTTTATTTTAACTTTAACATGTTATATATAACACCACCAGTAGAATATTCAAGTCAGATCCTTACGTGGTCTGTCGTAGTTGGTATTCTGCGACGTTTTTAGATTTAAAAGATCCCCCTCCGGGGGGTTTGGGAACAGGGCAAGCGGACCCAAGAGTCACGTACTGTAATTTCTAACCCTCTACCGGGGACCCGGTAGATTCGATAAATGTCTACCGGGACTCGGTATTCTAACGGGACTTTTACGCGCGCCTATGCTTTACCGTGGTTCCCAAACCCCCGGAGGGGATCTTTAAATCTATAAACGTCCCGATGCATCTACGCAGACCACGTAAGAGATTGACTATATTCTACTTGGTGGTGTTATAATATAACGTGTTAAAGTTAAAATAGAAGTAAGTTGACAAACGAAACCCAACGAGCGAACCGGTACGGGACGTATTCGTATTGTTTATGATTCAAAAACCATGTATCTGTGCACTCGGGGTAGACTGCTTACCGTGTATTTCATGGAAGGGTGACTCATTACTTATTTCCCACTCAGACATGATCAATGTAAAGAGTCTTAAGACTTGTACAAACGGTTTTTGTTACTGTACGTGATTGAAAGTGGGGTACTACAGTTTTACCAGACATTCAATAAGGTATACATTCTAACCAGCTTGCTTACGTTTTGACGTAATACACATCGACAGGCCAGTCTTTGCTCCTCGATCAGCTACGTACAAAAACAAATCAGCTACGCAGATAGGAGGACAATATCGTGAGTGGACAGCTGCAGTCTCAAGGTCCAAGGAACTGAGGTATAGATCCGACGTCAGCCTTATTACGTTTTTAGTCGAGGATTCAGATTGGAGATAGCAGATAAGGAACTGGAGACTCACTTTGCAGTGCCCAATTCCCTATCACCTAATCCTCCTTAAGTTTCCTAATCCTCTTCTCTACGCCATGAAATCTCTTAGCTGACGTGAAAGTGATAGGCTGCACAAATACTACGCGGTCGCCTGCAGTACTTACACGCCAGACGACGACACCCTTTGATACCTTTGATGTCAAGAGATATGTCGCCCTGCTGTTGTACCTACATATGATTCTTGCTCCCTGATGACATTTGAGTAGATCTCTGAGACGTGACACGAGACTACGACAACGACAATACGAAATACTTGCACCTGGTTGTCTCTTGTGTATAAAGAAAGTACTGGTTTCAACCTTAACTTTATTTTTTCCTTTCACTTCTGCATAACGAGCAGTGGGAGAGAGAGGCGGTGTAATTATGTTTACTGGGTTATGCATACCTAACATACTTGATACTTTCTATAGATTTTAGTTATGTTTACAAAATATATTTGCAATCGGAATTGTATAGTGACACATATAGTGGGTAACGTTTGTAGAAATATTCAACTTGTTTGGGGTGGTCGAGTCATTTCTGCACTTTACAACCTGAAATAAACTAGTAAAAGTCATTTTTGATTGTAAGTATAAAGAGAAAATCTAATACTTAGGGTACTTGCAAGTCTTGTTTCCGTGAACCGTTGAAATGGTGTATGCAAAATTTACGATTATTCGTGGCATTGAAAGACTTATTAAAGAGCTCAGTATCAGCCCAACAAGGCACTGCCGCTGACACGCCGTTTGACCGCGACCGTGACGTAACACACGTACTATTTACGTGAGAGGCAAGTGTTCCTGCTGGCCACCACTGGTTCGTTTACTCATTGTCCTTCAATCCTGGAGGGAACGCATGTAATTCTCTTAACATTCGCCATGTGAATTGTACACGAAGGTGCTCCCGAGTGCCCAGTATGTAGCCATCAAAGAATCTATTGTACCTGACTTTAGCGCGTAGACGTCCTTTGTGTGGCAAGTGATTCCTTAAAGGTACTATCGCGTTATGGAGGATGCAACACTGTTGTTACACTGTCAGAATATATCATACACTGTCTGTTCTTGATTAAGTTGATAAGATACAAGATTTTGTGTGTTACGACTCGTCTCTCGGAGACTTAATCGGCCGACTTACACGCGACTAGGCTATCCAGTCGGCCACAAGTCACCCGTCGTTTGTTTTTAGTATATACGACGCGATCCATGAAACTCCGTGAGTGGTCAAATGTCATTCGCGTTGTGATAACATTCCATACAGGAAATTTATTCGTAGCTATCAGTATAGTATTCGTTCTTGTCGACCTAGACTAGCTATGCTAGGCAATATTACGTTCTTGGTTGGAGTTTGTGACTTCATATGTTATTTTGTGAGCTAAGAAACAAATAGTGTGTTTTTTGTCAATTGAATGTAGTAATTTTCGTTCATGTTCGAAGTGGTAGGGAACAATGACACTCCAAGCCAAAAATCAGGTCCTAACGTCTAACCCTATCGTCTATTCCTTGACCTCTGAGTGAAACGTCACGGGGTTAAGGGATAGTGGATAGGAGAATTCAAAAGGACTTAGGAGAAGAGACTGCGGTATTTTAGAGAATCCGAATGCACTTTCACTATCCGACGTGTTTATGATGCGCCAGCGGACTTCATGAATGTGCGTCTGCTGCTGTGGGGAAACTATGGAAACTACAGTTTTCTATACAGCGGACAACAACATGGATGTATAATAAGAAGGAGGGACTAATGTAAACTCATCTAGAGACTCTGCACCGTGCTCTGATGCTGTTGTTTTATGCTTTATGAACGTGGACAACAGAGAAACATATTCTTCATGACCAAAGTTGGAATTGAAATAAAAAAGGAAAGTGAAACTTATGCTCGTCACCCTCTCCCTCCGGTCCACATTAAATACAAATGATCCCAATACGTATGATTTTATGAACTATGAAAAGATCTTAAAATCAATACAAATGTATTTATTATAAACGTTAGTCTTTAACATCTATCACTGTGTATATCACCATTCAAACATCGTTTAAAAGTTGAATAAACTCCACACAGCTCAGTAAAGACTGAAAGGTTGACTTTATTTGATCATTTCAGTAAAAACTAACGTTCATATTTCTCTTTTTGATTATAATACTGATGAACGTTCAGAACAAAGCACTTTGGCAACTTACCACATACGTTTTAAAATGCTTAATAAGCACCGTAACGTTCATGATATAATTTCTCGGTCATAATCGGTTGTTTCCGTGAACGGGCGACTGTTGAGTGACGGCAAATGCTGCGGCTGCAATGCACTGTGGGGCGGCATTTTCTCCTCTCCTTTCGTCAAGGGAGGTCCAGTGGTTCCTAAGCTAAAGGAGGTTATAAAGGAAGTTTTAAACCTCCTTTCCTTTCATTTGGAGGAACGGCACTTAACATGGCTCCCACTGACGTACTTCCGGGTCATTTCACTTGGTTAGGAAGGTTCCTAAGCTAAATGGACTATTGGACCGCAACCCGAGCTTCAACACTGAGTGGGTGTGTATCTGTTTCTGGTTATTTTATTTAGAAATTCAGTTCCTGAGGAACGGCAAAAAAGCCAGATTATAGAATCAAACAAATAAATAAAAACAAGGATAATTGTTTTATTGGTGAGTAAATAACAGTGTGTTATTTAGAAAATAATAACAAATTAGAAGGATTTAAAAAACACAGATTTCAGTATTCTGAGGCTCTGAGCCCCATTTATTTTCCTCGCAGACGGCAAAAAAGGTCCGACATTATATGATTTAAAATAAAAACAATAATCGTGGCTTGATATTGAGTAAGAACATGTTCTTATGAACCCCACAGCTTCCGGTCTTCCAAGACCCGAACGGACAAAAAGACGTGTTGCAGGCACGAAACATTCTACCAATAGAAATACATTGCTTTTAAAATCGTTCTGTGTGACACGAAAAAAAGGGGAAAATCGTGTTGGTGAACACGAATCAATAGATGAAATGTCTGACTATAACACGAAATGCCATGAGACTGGGTTGCTATAGTATATGCTAGCCCCTCTTGACTCAAACTAGCATGCCAGCAGGCAAATGCAGCTTCTCGTCTTGCTAAGAATAAGTAAAGAAAAACAATAAAGCTTTACACAGGCAAAATGGGAATAGTGCTGTTGTTTTCAAGACATGAAGATGTGAGCACAGAAATGTTTCAGACTTGCCTCTTATTAGATGAAATAATAATAATAATAATAATAATAATAATAATAATAATAATAACAATTATGCAGCCTCTCCAAACTAAAGCTAGCACGCTAACATGGTAATGCCAGCCCTTCTTGACTCAAACTAGCGTGGCCGGCAGGCCAATGCTAGCCTCTCCTCTCAACTCAAAAAAAGCTAGCAGCTTAATTGGCATTAGCTGTTATTAAAGTACATTTCCGTTAGCAAAACATGTTAACTTCATAAATTGTCTTTTATTCAACTATGGAAACAAGGCTTCATGGTACAATAACCATAAATAGCATGCTGCTAGCCAAATGTCTCTATCCCATTTCTGTCAACATTTGTTGTTGGGCAAGAAATTGCTAAATACATTATTAAAGTTTAGTCAGTAGGGACCCAGAGTCTCTCATTAATCACTGACAAGAAGACTGATCGTACATAATCTGTAGTAATATCCTTATATAAAATCAAATACTATGTGTTAGTGAAAAACAACACCACCTTACATTGACACCTACATACCAAAATGCCAAATGTGTATTTTTCAAAAGGAGAGATCACAAGCACGATAACATTGACACACACAAGGTCACCATATAGATGAAGAGAAATCCTTTTTTTACACAGTGAAAGCACCAAGATAGGGACCCCCATTAATGTGAAAACATGAATAATTGACTTAGTGAAAGCATTCCCAGGAGAGAGAAGGAGAGAGATAGAAATCACTGGGAGCAACCCAGGGAACACCACTCCCAAATTGCATGTGCCTTACTCACACACACACACACACACACACACACACACACACACACACACACACACACACACACACACACACACACACACACAAACACCCTCGCACAACTACAAGGAGCCAGAGAATGCAAAGATAAAGATGGCTTCCATTATTAATACAGCATCATAAAAAGGAAAGCAATACAGCAATAGATAGATAGATAGATAGATAGATAGATAGATAGATAGATAGATAGATAGATAGATAGATAGATAGATAGATAGATAGATAGATGTGTATTTTGCTGCATTGACCTTAGGTGGTAATAGAAGCATTATTCCCTTCATCCCTCCATTTCCTTTATTTGTATTCTAATGGTATTGTTTCGACTTCCTCCATTTCCATCTCTTGCTCCTCTGGGATCCATCTCTAGTCGTGCAGTTAGCTGCCTACCTCATATACCCTTCCCTCCATCCTTCATCCATCTCTCCTTCCCCTGTCCCTGGTATAACTGAGCATATCTAAGAGTATAAATCATATTTTGTATGTATTACTGTTGGTATGTATGCAAATGTATTTCTGCTCCCTCACTCAAATTGTGTGTGTGGTGAGTGGTTGGTGTTTATGGGTATGTGTGTGTTCTTACCTGAGGCCTGGAGGACGGGGGCTGTGTGTGTGTGCGTCGTGGCCGCGGTCGGGAGGCTGTGTAGTGCCTCAGAGTCTGTCCCTGGGTGGGTAGAGGCTCCATTGGGGAAGCGGGGGGTCCAGAGCTGAGCAGGGAGCCTGGGCTGGGCTTGCAGCCGGGGAAGGGAGCCTGTCGTCTGGGTAAGCCTCCGCGGCCGGCAGCCTCCTCCTCTGCAGCGGAGATGGAGCGCAGGAGGGGGGGGCTGGGAGGAGGAATGAACGATGCTCCTCTCGCTGCTGCAGCATCCAACGCTGCTGCCGCCTCCCCCTCCCTCCACCTCCTCCCCCTCATTCCTGGGGGGGACGGGGACGGGGAGGGGCTTGGAGACCTGACTGACATGGGGGTTGCTGTCGACAACAGAGGGAGACCGCACAATCCTCCTCCCCCTTCTTCTCTGGCACCTCCTCCTCTGATCTCCTGCTCCCAGTCTGCATCCAGGAGACCTGAGAGGGGAGGCACAAGGAGAGGTGATGGAGAGGAAGAGAATGGAGGGAAGGATGGGGAATCCAGCCCACAAAGTGAACGTATGAATATCTAGGGCAAGATAGGGGAGAAAGGGGGGAATGTGGAAACAAGGGAAATGGGAAAAGGGAGGAGGGGGGTGTCAAGAGACTAATAGTGATAAAGGGGATGAGAGGATAGATAAGAAGGGGTTACTAAATGGGGCAGAGCAAAGAGAAGAGAGAGAAATAAGGAGCAAAGCTTAGCGATGCAGAGTATAGAGAGGAAGCAGAAAGGAAACAGAGAGGAAGTAGAGAGGAAGCAGATTGGAGCAGAGAGGGAGCAGAGAGGAAGCAGAGAGGAAGCAAACATGAAGCAAATGGGAAACATTGATTAAGCAGAGAGAAAGCAGAGGGGAAACAGAGGGCAAATAAGATAGTAAGCAAAGAAGAAGAGAGGAAGCATAGAGGAAGCCGAAAGAGAGCAGAGAGGAAACAGACAGGGAAGTAAAGAGGAAGCAGCTAGGAGCAAAAGGAAGCAGAAAAAGCAGAGAGGAAACATAGAGGAAGTATAGAGGAAACAGAGAGGAAGCAGAGAGGAAACAGAGAGGAAGTATAGAGGAAGCAGAGAGGAAACAGAGAGGAAGTATAGAGAAAACAGAGAGGAAACAGAGAGGAAGCAGAGAGGAAACCAAGAGGAAGTATAGAGAAAACAGAGGAAGCAGAGAGGAAACAGAGAGGAAGCAGAGAGGAAACAGAGAGGAAACAGAGAGGAAGTATAGAGAAAACAGAGAGGAAGCAGAGAGGAAGCAGAGAGGAAGCAGAGAGGAAGTATAGAGAAAACTGAGAGGAAGCAGAGAGGAAGCAGAGAGGAAACAGAGAGGAAGCAGAGAGGAAACAGAGAGGACAAAGAGCAGCAAATGGCTCTGCAGTCACTCTGTACAGCAGGGGTGTCAAACTCAATTTCATCGCGGGCCACATTACTATTATGGTTGCACTCAAAGGGCCGGTGGTTTGACACCCCTGCTGTACAGGACCACATAGGACCAGGATAGGGTTAGACCTACGTGGTTATCATTCTCTTACAGGGTCTAAATGTTTAAGAGGCTTTTGAAATGCCCATTGATTACTACACTCAATATTCTCTGTAAAGATACTGTATATTGATCTAATTCGTTTTTTATGATTCATTGTAAAGCTATCCTCCAATCAAACAGGTTGTGAAATCCCCCAAAGTGTTCTCATCCTCCCCTCCTCCGCTCCTCCATCTTCTCCCCATCTCATCTCTCCATGGTGAGAGTCACTGGTGTGACAGTAAACAGGCCATGCTCCAATTAGCCAAACAGAGCGGTGTGTCTGACAGAATGGCCCCGCACACAGGAGCAGCACAAAGGAACAACAAGGAAACATGACAGGAGCTTAAGACCTGCGCTCAGACTGGACTGCTGTAGCTAAACAGATGGAAATATTGTTCACTGTGTAATACCATCACAGTCATGATACAACACAACTATTGTAATCGTACACACGTTACATCCTTTAAAGCCTGATCATCATTAATCCAAAGTGTTAGGTGCTTTAATTGAAAAACTGATAGAAAATATTTTATGTCCAAAGGTGCAATCTATGAAACCTCATGGTATGAAGTGGTTTTTAATTTAAGTGACTTTTGCCTCCCTGTGGACACCTTTAATATTTGTAGCCCCTCTACTCATAAAGTGAAATGAGATGTCGTTATGTTGCACATTACAACCAACGTTTTGCTTTGAAGGTGTCATGGGAAGAAGAAATGGTTCAAAAAGAGTGTCTGCTGTTAGGACTTCTTATATTTAGTTCACAGGGCCCCTTTTTACCTAAGGGCCCGGTCAAGTTAATCTAAATGAGCAGGTTCAATTAAGATCCGTTGTTACATTGTAAGGAGATCAATGCATATACTAAAAGCTGAATGTATTTATTAACATGGATTACATGACCATGTCTATGTAATGTCAAAGGTGTTGTTGTCTGCATTCATGCCAAATTAGGTGCTGCAAATATTAATGTGAAAGCAAGAACTAAGGAATCATGTCAGTACATTTATTTAAAAAAAGAAATATTTGTATTTTATTCCTCGGGATTGTGAGAAACAGCATTTTGATCTCCCTGTTTGTCTCACACAAACAGAAGATTGACAATAAAGTTGCATTTTTTTATTATCTTGTGATTGTTATTATTGTTATCAAAAGAACAAAACAGAAATTACATAAGATAGGTGGGTAAGGGTTGATGCAGGTTAACAAAATATAGAATATTGAAATGGAAAGATAAGCTGTACATGGAGTGGAGAAGAAAACCTGTGGTGAGTTATCCATTTTGTTATTACGGTTTGCCATTTAATGTATTTTCAAGAAAAGCAATCACACACACATGCAAATGAGTTACACAGAATCAAATTCACAGATATAAGGAGACATTAAAGGATCCTTTATTTTGTTGGTTGTATCTTACTCTTTATGGAAGCGGCAGGCCTCAGGCTCTTGGAGTGGAAACTGTCTCTCCAACACGCTGAACTGTACTGGGGATGGAGAGAGGTCAAAATGGAAAATCAGATATTTAAATGGATGACTGAATTAACAGATAGATGGATGTGTGTGTGTGTGTGTGTGTGTGTGTGTGTGTGTGTGTGTGTGTGTGTGTGTGTGTGTGTCTCAGGTGTGTGTGTGCGTGCGTGCGTGCGTGCGTGCGTGCGTGCGTGCGTGCGTGCGTGCGTGTGTGTCTCCTACATCATCAGTTGGGAAGTCGCTGTCAATCAGTCGAAGCTCTGGGATGTTCAGTTTCAGAGAGGTGCACGAATTTTCTTTTAAAAGGAAATTCTACACAGCAAACAACGAAAAACATCAAGACTGAGTGCAACTCATAATGACAAATCATAAGTTGAGCATGTCATCTTAAAATATGCTATATAAGATCAATAATATAGTAAATATAATAATACCTATTTGTGTTTTTAATGGAGGTTACATAATTAAAGGAAACATTCATGTGTGGCATATTATACAGAGTGAAATAAAAACATAAGTGTTTTAATTATTGTTAACTTGCATTGTTGCACTTTTGATGGGGCTAGCAAAGCTAGGCTAACAAAACTTGGACACAGCAGTTCTAGCTGCTATTGTGTCATATAATAACACACTATACAACATGTTCGTAGACAAAAAGTACAACTATGTGTTAAAACTCAAACATATATTTACCACTCTGTCCTGTGCCATGATGAGATCCTGTTGCACCTGTTCCATGATGCTTTCAGCCAGAGAGACACTCAACGTCTCTCTGAGGTCTCTGAATGGAGGACAAGAAAGAACACACACACACACATTGCATTGCAGCAGAGTTAGCATTGTGTGCTTTGACTTAGCTGAGTTTTGTCTTGTTGGATAAATGTAAGTGAATATGTTATAATGTTATTTATAATGTTCAATATGTCCGAATTTCTACTACTAGTTCATGTTATTACCGCAGTCTGTTGCTGATGATCTGCCCTGTGTTCTCCACCAGAGTGCTTCTCAGGAAAGTGTGTGTCTGTCTGCTTCTTTTGGACACACACTCTGACAGACCCTCGCACACACTGGAGCGCTGCACCACCCAAGGACACGCCCCCTCCGCCCCCCTCATCAGGCCTTCAGCCAGACCCTGGAACACAGACAGGACTGATGACCCCAGCGTCTACTCTGTGTTCTGCATTTTACTATTCCACTGTCTCTGACCTTTCTTGCTTTCTTGCTTCACTATAAAACATGTTGCTTGGTAAACTTCATTTAGCAGTACCTAAGTGTCTGTAAAGTTTGTCTGAAAAGAGGCAGACTTGTTTGAGCAGATGTGGTGTGTACTTTTGTTTGATGAGTAAAACTTTGTTGTGTACACGCCAGATGTATCTTGAACGTAAATTAAGAATGTGTACTGTGTACTTCCATAAATAAAACCTTAAGTGAGCCTCATACACATGCTCAATTCATTTCTTTGCAATTTTAATTGACTAGGATGTTAGAGGAAAAATCAATTACTATACTAAAATGTAATCTATTTAAAAAAAAAAAAAAAGACAGTATTCATGTTCAATGTTACTCAATAATTGTAATATCTGTCCGGTAAAATTGATGAAACAAAATGCAGTGCTTAGCCAAATAAAAAACAAACCAGTTAAAAATGCCACTATGTGAGGATGTTCATGTGAAAATAATGACAAAGATATAATAGTTAGTTACTGGTAATGTGATAAAGTTACTGTTTTGTTAACTTCCTGTTGTCTGCCAGACAAATTACATTACATTTAGCTGACGCTTTTATCCAAAGCGACTTACAATAAGTGCATTTGACCAAGAAGATACAAACTTGAAGAAAACAGAATCATATAAGTACATCAGGTTTCATAGAGCTAAAACATTTCAAGTACTACTCAACTGGCTTTAGATAAGCCAGCCGTTTATTAGTATATAAGTGCTTTGTTAATAGTTCTATCGCTCAAACTGGAGTCTAAAGAGATGAGTTTTCAGTCTGCGCCGGAAGATGTGTAAGCTTTCTGCTGTCGAGGGTGGGGGGTGCTTCCACCATTGGAGTCGCTGAAACCAGGGTGGTTGGTGTGCTGTGTTGTTGTGTATGGGTGTGTGTTTGGTCCGTAGCGAGTGCGGCACGGTGGCTGAGTGCAGAGCGAGTGCACGTAGCTGGCAGGTGTGACCGGT